CCCAGTACTCCGTTGGGCCCAGGGGGCACATTAGGGCCTGGTACTGTAGATCGCAGTCGGAGCCAAGCCGCCTGAGGCACAGAGCTGCCGTAGTGCAGCAAGCATTGCAAGATGAAGCCTGGATTAGGGTTTATTTGTTCTTTAGGCTCTCGCAACCCGGACTCGCCAGATGAGGACTCGGACTTGCCAGAGGTTCCAAACATCGGGTTTCGGGTTTGGAGATGTTTCGAAGATAGTGACAGGCTGCAGGATGTAGGTCCGCTGTTCTTACGGAGTTCAAATTGCACCTCTCCTCTTTTTCATTTTTCTTTGGCCCTTTCGACAGGAGCTACAGAAGCGAGAACTGCCCGGGCCTCCCCGGCCAGAAAACCCTTTCAAATAAGGGCCTTAAAGGCGACTACATTCTTTTCCCTATACTTTTCCAAGGAGTCATGTTGAAGGTTCGGCCAGGAACAGAAGGGCATAGGGCGCCACGCTAAATCATGGGTTCTTCGTGTTTCTGCAGGATATTCTCAAGGTTTCTGCTGCTGTCTAGGGCTCGGGAGGGGAGGGGAGGGGAGGGCTTAATAACGATGATGATGTTGAAGACGGTTACGATAATGTTGACCATGAGTATGATGATGATGATGATGATGAAAGTGAAGCTCATGACGGTGATGACGGTGATGATTATGATGATGATGGTAGGGATGATGATGACGATGATGATGCTGATGATGCTGATGGTGCTGACAATGATTACGGTCGTCATGATGAACATGACTAAAATTATAATGATGCTGATGTTGATGTTAAAGACGACGGTGATGCTGATGATGCTGCTAATCGTAAAAATGCAGTAGTTGCCGGGCCTGCTGCAAATCTTTTGTCGCTTGCAGAAATCGTGCTAACACCACAGTATCTCGCACTTTCTAATTAAGTACCAATGTAACATGGCGCCTGGCGCGCCCGTACCCAAGTAGATAAAGAGTTTATCAGCATATGTTTTTAGGCTTCAGGGTTGGTATTCAGGTTGAGATGCATCAAGCCGGACATGTAAGGTGAGGGAAAGGCCCTATTGTGGTGACAAGTGATGAGTACGCCTGATTTCCCAGGCTCGGGATCAATAGATATCCCCAACAGCGAAGTCCCCAACCATATCTCAGTTCGCAGGGAAGGGGATCTGTTGAAAGGTTCCTAGAAGTGCATTCGGCAATCCGAACCGTATTCGCGGGACCCTCTCCGTAGTCGTTGCCGACGACCTCACGGACCTTAGTCTTCAAAGGAACCGCATCCGGAACTAGCAAGCCCTAAACAGGGCATTGTGGCCTCTTCACAGTGCCCATTCAGAACGACACCCTGAAACCCTACCACACCCTGGGGAGCAGAACCTTTCCTTGCAAGCTGCCTCGCGGATCTTCGCACGTTCTGTAGATGCACTGGACTCCGGCCGACTAGAGCTCGCAGAGGCACCTGGCATCTGCGGCTCTAGACTTAGGGATCCTCTGGGACTCACAGCATACTGGGCTTGGTGATTGCAGGGCATATAATATAGTATAATATAATATACTTTAATATAATATAATTTAATACAACATAATACAATATAATATGATTACCGTTGCCTTTGTGCTTGGGGCCCTGACTCTCGACGGCCCAAGCACCAAACTGGCTCCCTGAACGCGTAGTAAGGTTCCCTTACAACCCTTTTTTTAAGGACCTCGTGTAATAGATGTGCCCCAGAACCTCATCCTAACTAGTAAGGCCCTATTTTAGATGCCGGAGCTGGCTCTAAGCACCTCCGTTGCTGAAGCTGGGATCATGTAGGACTCCACCAGGCTTCATACCGCACCAACTCACCATCTGCTGAAAGCCCCACAAGATCGCAAGAATTCGAAGCAAGAGTGCGAACAACAAAAAGAGCAGAACTCCACAATTATAAAACAAACAATGACTGCCACCGTCTGCCTCCACCTCCTCCTCCAGCTGCCTTGGGCGCTGGCCGCCTTCGGTGTCGTGCCTCCTATGGCGTGTTTTGGGGGTTCAGGTTAAGGGGCTTCGGCGCTCACACTCGGACA